TTCCTTCCTTCCTTCCTTCCTTCCTTCCTTCCTTCCTTCCTTCCTTCCTTCCTTCCTTCCTCCTTGGAATTTCTTAATGGACTTTTTTGGTGAGTGCTCCCCTCTGTTTGATAACCCCGCTTTTAGAGCCTCTATATAGTCTTTGCTTCCATTGTAGAATAGATTCTGCATGTACCTCACTGAGAAAGAGTCCTTTAGAGCAGGGGTCGCCAACCTTTTGGACCTCAAGGACCACCAAACCCATAATTTTAAATCCTGGGAACCACTAATATGCGTTTTGACTGATGGTGGCTTGCTGACATTGGTGGGAGAGAGAGAGAGAGAGAGAGATCTGATCTAACCCCCCCCCCTCTCTCTCTCTCTCTCACTCACTCACTCACACACACACACACACACACACACACACAAACACACAGAGTCAGGGGTGGGATTCTTAACCTGTTCTGTGGGTGTGGCCTAATTTGTGGGTGTGGCTTGGTGGTCATGTGACTGGCTGGGCATGGCTTGTATGTAAATATTATAACCATTTATGTAAATATTGAATTTTTTTATTTAAAAAAAGAGCAACTTTTACCCAAAATCAGGCAAAGCAGGCAGGCAGATTGAGTTGCTCACAGAATCATTCAGAGATCTATCTATCTGCCATCAGCTACCTGGGTCTGTCACATAAAATTTGCTTGCAGTGAGTCTGCACTGAATAATAGAAGTTTCAGTCCTAAGGAAGGTTCGGCTCTGCTTAAAAGCAGAGCTGAAGATTTAAAGATTAGCTAGAAAGCAAGAAATGCAACAATTTCCTGCTTTCTAGTTAATCTAAATCTCCCAGCACAGCAGAATCAGAGGTGGTATTCAGCAGGTTCTGACCAGTTCTGGATAACCGGTAGTGGAAATTTTGAGTAGTTTGGAAAACCGGCAAATTGCACCTCTGACTGGAGATTTTACAGTATCCTTCCCTGCCATGTCCACCAAGTCAGGCCCACAAAACCAGTAGTAAAATTTTTTGAATCCCACCACTGAGAAGAACAGCTGATGGTCGGGAAAAATAGTGGGCGGGGAGGGTTCCTGTGAGCCATGTGGGCGGCGCAACCTTGTGTTCCCGTGCAGCCTGGATTAATTGCTTTGGGAGGTGCTCTGGGGGTGACATTTGGGCTGTGGCCCACTAGTTGGCAAACGCTGCTTTAGAGGTTTTTCAGATTTCCCCCATCCCAGATTTTTCAGATATTTCAGAAAATTTCTATTATTCATTGAAACAATGATTGTATCACAACTGATATTGAATAGTAACTGTTCAAATCTTTCCAGCCCTCGGGGAAAATAAAGAATGGTTTCTAGGATCTAAAAAAAAGAAAGCGTCCTTAGTGTTATCATTTATAGAAATTTGGATTCAGCCCAGTTTTTCTATAGTGCTAGTAGGATCAAAATTATTGGCACATGCAAAAGATTGAAAAGAAGAGAGTTGGAAAAGGCAACAGGTATAATTATTTATCTGAATGCTAAGCACATTTTATGTATCTGCAACTTACTTTCTTTAGGAATTTGTCTCTGTCCCTTGATTTGTCTCTGTCCAATATGATTTCTATTGCTTTTTGACTCTACATTCAGCCAATCAAAACAAGCAAGAAAACAAACAAAGTTTCTCTCATCATCTTTTAACACACAAAGTAATTTTAACTATTTTATATTTATTTTTTTACTGTTTTGTCAGTTGCCCAGAGTCACCTTATGGGCAGTATCAAAACTGAATAAACAAATAAATTTCTACATTGTGTTCAGGTTAATGTGGAAAAAGCTCCTCCTTTCTCATGAAAGACTTTAGGTATAATAACTCAATTGTCAACATAATCACTTGTCCTCTATAGCCTCATTTTTAAAGGAAATTATTTGTTTATTTGTTCAATTTAGATGCTACTGGATTTTGGAAAATACTGCCTACTTCTTAAAAACTTCACTCAGCTGCTAGAAGACAGAGGCAAATTAGTAGATATATTGATTTACATGCAATATTTTCATAGTTTTAGAAACTTTTTTTATTTAAAAAGGTCAGATTGTTAAGAGTTACTATGTTAAAGCTGTAATTAGTGAATCAAATGCCATAAGAAGCAAACAACACCTGCTCTTCAGGAGATACTTCTGATAATTAGAAAGAGAATGTATGACATTGTTTAAAAGGTTAGGCAGTCTGCAAACAAGATAGATAGTTGAAACCATATGTTAAAATGGGAAGCACCAAGAGTAAACAAAAGATAGTCATGGTTTAGTTCAAAAACACTTTGACAATAAACAGATCTGATATAATTAGCTGAACATTTCCCCTTAAAAAGCTCTAACTGGTTTTGCTTGGGGCAATAAGGGAGGGAAGAATGATCTCTGGTGGCACAACATGCCCATCAAGGCAAGGTCTTAATCAGTTCTCCTCTCCAACAATTTAGCAGGTTTATTCAAGACATTATAATAATTGCATTTTGAAAATTAGTCTGTTTAAACAAATCTGTTTAAATAGTATTTAAATAGTATTTCTGATATTCAGAGAAGAAATCGGTGCATTTCATTTTATTATTATTTTTGTCCTAAGATGTGATGTCATTTTTAGCAAATGAATTAATGTGTATCTTCTAGTATCACATTAATAGAGCTGATGACCATATAACTTTCTACAGGAAAGAAAGGGCATGCAGCCTGAAATTGGACCATTTAGAAATATCTCTTTTAAGTTTGTTTTTGCTTTTCTTTTAAGCCATTACAAAATATTTTATTTTGGCTGAATTATTTCACATGAAACACACAAAAATGGGAGGTGTTCTACAGTTATAAGAAGAGATAGTACTGGGGTAGGTCTAATGCCTTTAATATATTAGCCATGTTTATATAATTGGAAGCTATGTTTCTCTTTATTTTGTTTATGATAATCTTTATCTTCAGTGCTTAAATAACCATTTAAAAAAAACAACAGCAACTAATGTTGGGTTGGCAGAGAATCTTGGTCCATCATGTTGGTATGGAATAGAGAAATAGCAATAGCACTTAGACTTACTTACATATTGTTTCAGGGTGCTTTTCAGCCCTCTCTAAGCGGTTTACAGAGTCAGCATATTGCACCCAACAATCTGGATTCTCATTTTACCCACCTTGGAAGGATGGAAGGCTGAATCAACCTTGAGCCTGGTGAGATTTGAACTGCCAAATTGCAGGCAGCTGGCAGTCAGCAGAATTAGTCTGCAGTACTGTACTTTAACCACTGCGACACCATGGCTCATTATGATACATATTCCTTTTCACTACAGTTGCAGCACTGCTTAACATATAGAAAATGGTAGTAAACCCAATGAAATGCTTCAAATATCTCATGCTTGCCAGCATTCTGCTATAAAAACCTCCATGTGTGCTGGCAAGCTCCAAATTTTATGAAGTAATGCTGATTTGTAAAAAAAAATGGGATTCTTGTGTCATGCAAATTTATGATTGGGTTGAAAATGCAATGGAATACTCCTGAAATCAACAATTCCCATTCAGTTTTAATATTTTTAATAGATTTTTCTTCAAGAACATGCTATGACACATGTTCAGGTGATTCTGTAAAGGAATCAATTTTAAAAGCAGTTTGAAAGAGAAATCAAAAGTCCTGCTGGGCTTGTAGAAACATGCAGTACTTTTAGAGTTGTAGCATATACTCTACACATATGAAAATAAAGGAAATAAGAAACTGCTTCCAACTGATGGTAATGACCCAAGAAAGATTCTGGCGGTGAATTCCTGTCTCAAAGGATGATGTCACTGAGAAAACCTTGGATTCCTGAACTATATCCTTCATTTCCTATAGAAAGGGCTTTTACCAAATCACCAATACTCGAAAGACTGCCTTTGGAAGACAACTTGCTAAGGTCATTTGAAGCGCTTTAAATTAAATTAAAAACATTCACAAAATCATGCCAAAGGCAATAAATCTTACAATAAGGAATGCAGTAGTAAAAAGGTTGGTTAAAAATGCACTGGGACATGCAACACTGAAACTTAAGGGAATCCTTTTTATTTATTTATTTTAAAAATGCTCAGTTTTATCCTTTTTATTAGTTTATAATATAAAATACAAAAGCAAATAATAGGAAAAACAGGGGAGGGAAAAAGTAAAAGTGTAGAAAAGAAGGGGAAAAGAAAGAAAAGGCACTGGCTTCTGATTCCCTTTGGTAAAGTAGAAAAAGATCAAACCTCAACTTTTTACTTTTACATAGTAGTATAAACCATTTCTATAA